GCAACACCCCACCCCCACCCCTGGGTGTTTCTGACTTGCGGAGAAGAAGAACGCAGGTGTTTGTGTCATATGCAGGCTCTAGGGTGGGGAAAAGAAAACCATCAAACACCCTTTCTTTGCCAGCCATTGGTGTTTGCCCAAGATAGTATTGCAAGTGATTGTTCTTCTATGCTTTCTGATTTTTGCTTTTATCTAACAGCCACACTCCTCTCTTGGTTCCCTCACATGCCTGATTCTGCATTGCATGACTGAGAAGACAGTCTCACCCCTCATTCCATGAGTTCCACTCAGCCTCCAGCAGACTTACCTGGGAGCTAACCTTATCCTACATAGGCAGGATCCTTCCTAGTTCCTAGCTTTGTGCTTGAGAATAGCCTTGATTTTTACCTAGGCTTATTAATATAGTCAATCAATGAATTATATGTGATCTCTTATACTCCAGAAGTACTATACTCCACTGTACTAAGACCTGTTGCATATTTGCAAATGAGTAAGAAATAGTCTCTGTCCCCATAAAGCTAAGATATGAGATAAATCCTGCTAACTATATCTAGACAACACACTTGGGGAGCTCTAAGGGAAATATAGTTGTCTGGGAGAATCTTCGTGAGACAGAAGCCTTCAGTTTTGTCTTAAAAACTGAATAAAACTTGAATATGAAGAAAAGAACATTTTGGACAAAGACACAATGTGAGTCAAGGCACAGGTTGGGGTGTGGACACACACATAGCAGGCAGGGAGCAACTCAGTCCTCCCAGGACATGATTTGGGGGAGAGTTTGTGGGACTGTTGCCAGAGGCTTGCCAAGTTTTGCGGGAAGAGGGAAGACATATAAATGAAAGCGAAGACTGACAGCTAGGGGGATAGAGATATGTTTATTTTGGCCAAGAAGCAGTTTGAAATATTTCAACCAATTTTTCAAATCAGATTTTACATAAAAATCCAGATTTCTGGTTTCTTCTGAAAATTTGGGTGATCTAGCAGCATGGAGCATGTTTACTCAAGACAGGACTTGACAGAACTGAGGAACAACCTCTTCCTGTCACTTGAGTGTGAGCTTCATCTCCCCAACAGAGAAGTATAGCTTGCAGTCCTTTCACCTACCTGCTCAGCCTGGGGTTGTTTTAACAAATGCCCCTTGCGCTGTTGCTATGGATACAAGCCCAGGCCAACCAAACATGGAGTCATGAATGACAGACCCAAGGGCCTCTCTTCCGGCCCACCAACTCTCACACTTGTTCTCAGTAATCCCTGGCATTCAGTGTTACCCCAACAGGCTCTTCAAAATTACAAGACTTGGAATATTTAAAGCATCTCTTAAAAACAGTCCATGCTGCCCAGGATCTGTGGTTCAAAATGGGGTGAATATAGCACATCAAAATGTGGGATGAGGTGAGCATGTTTGCTTGTTTCTGACAGGTTAATTAAAGAACTAACATCACCCCACTCTCTGGACTTAATCTTGCCCAGCCAGGGTCCAGCCTTGGAGATTTATTTGATGGAATCTTCCTGTTCAAAATTTCTACAGTCTTCCTTTCTTTTCTGCTTCATAATTCTGGAAGTGTCCACCTTCATCCTATTCTGTGAGTTGACAAGGAAGGTATACTAACATCTGAAGAATGTGGGGTTCCTCATCAGGGCAGAAAAGCCACATCAGGAGAAAAAAATCCTCTGCCAGGGTACCAGGAAGCAGTAGCAGCAGTTGGTCAAATGGCCCCAGGAGAGCCCACAATTTAAACCCTCTTGTGGTGACATTAAAGAACTGGGAGGTCGGCCCTCCCTGGTGGCGCAGCGGGTTAAAGCACAGCACTGAGAAGCTAAAGCTACTTCCGCATGAGTTCGATTCCCGCCTGCCCCGGAGGCGACCACATGGCATGGCAGACCTCTCCTGACCCGCCCGCTGCTCCCCTCAGCAGTGTACTTCATTGATCTGCCTGTTCTGCTCCCCGCTCTGTCTCTGGTGAATTCTTTCACCCTCCGCATCTCTGGCCTGTACCCTAGTTCTGTACAAATAAATAAATAAATCTTAAAAAAAAAAAAAAGAACTGGGAGGTCAGTTTGGTATTCCTAAGACGATGTAAGCCCTTATAAGTACAAATAAATCTACATTAGGGAAGAATGTAGAAGAGAAAAAAGAGGGGGGGGGGAATAAATAAAAACATGACTTGATTTCTTAGAAAATGTTAATTTTAAGATAAGTTTTGTGTAGCACTTCTAGCAATACTTCACTGTGAAAAACCCAGAAAAGTTTTCCCAAACATCACAACCCCTCAGCCAGACCTACATAGTCTATCTTGTAGGCTGAGGATAGTAGTTCTGGGATATTGGGATATCACAAAGGTTTTGTGTAATATTCTAATCAGGAAACCCAGTAAAGAACAGAATTAGCTGGTCAGCACTTTCTTCTGAAGAGAGAATACACAATTGTCTTGAAAGCGACCCACTTGCATTGAGGAGGACAATGTCCCGAACGAGTAGATTGCCAACTTGTCATTCTTTCAGACAGCACAAAGCTGGTATTTGTATGCTCTGGATGGGTCTAACCAGATGCAAAACACTGGCCCGTTTAAATACCATTTATGGACCAATGTGAATGAGATGGTTACAACCAAAAAGCTGGAATATCTAGGGAGTTTGTATTTTGTTGGCTTTTTCCTCCTGTGGTTTCTACCATCTGTTTCTTTTAATGCAAAACAAGGAAAATGACTGGTTTGGAATGCAAAGTTTTTTAAAACCAGATGACCACAGGCATCCTATGAGAGACAGAAAGCAAGTTGGGGGCCTGTGACATTTAGCAGGAAGAGAGATGGTAAATACCAGGCAACATGAATGCTCTCTGCCAAGGAAGGCCACAAAAATAAAGAAGAGTCTTATCCATGATCTTGCCTTTCCAAGGTCATTCTAGAGCTGTCCATTTCGCCAAGGACTGTTGAAGACACCACGCACTCTCCTCTCTAGCTCCCAGCCCTTGTTGTCTTTTTAAACTAAAGAGCTGGTCTTCAGCATATCCATCTTGGCCTTAGCCTTATTGCTAACTTGGCAACCTTGGTTAGAACCAACCCTCAGAAACTTTTAGACTGAACAAAAGTTGTGTTATGAGCAGGTTCTATTATAAAGCTAAAGTAGAGAGCTATAAATAGAGGCACTAATTAGATGTAGTAAGATAAGATACTTCATTTCTATTCCAGACAATGAGTGGGGGAACTATGTATAAATGTGTGTGCATACTATAAACATATATACACATATGTGTGTGCACATATGTGTAGATATATGGTGTATGTATGCATGTGTATGTGTGTGCTCACACATATTATAAATATGCATATGTGTATGTGTTTATATATACGTGTATATGTTTATAGATACTGTGTGTGTGTGTGTGTGTGTGTATAATGGCACTAAAACCATAGTGTGTTTTTCATGAGCAAAGGGCATCCTGTTTTCAAATGGAAATAGACTGTGCACATAGTACGTTGACCTTTCTATAAAGTGGTTCTGTGTGCTCCATACCAACAAACCATAAAGCAATAGATTTGTTTTTTCAACCTGAGGCAGTGGACAGATTTGATGGGAGAATGATTGTATAGTAATTTCATTGAAGAAATAACCAGTTGCAAGCAGCAGGGATTTAAAACCAATTTGAACTCGGGCATTCTAGGGCCCCCGGGAGAAGCCCTCTGCCGCATTTGGCCGAGTTCCATCCATTTCAGCATAAGACAGACGTGAGCATTTTTTACATAGTTGTACGGGCAGCCTGACGCCAGAGTTTTCACATTAGAGAAAGGATAAATGAGGATGGTTTCAGAGGGAATAACAAACACTTCCGAGTCCACCGTGTCTGTTTTCTTCAAAAATGTCATGTGCAGTCTTTAAGGGGGATGCTGTTAGTGACTTGGGGAGCCGAGGTTAGGCAGAATCAAGATCCTGATAATTTAGAGGTTCTTAGCAGACTAAATATATTTCAGAATGAGTTTAAGTTCCAATCATTTCTATAAGACACCAGCGAAGTATGTAGATATGAAAATACAAAGCTGTCAGGTGAGATTCATTTTACTGACATTGGTTCCAGATGCCAGAGTTGTGATGAGTATATTTGATTTCTGTCATTCTTTGGACAAGGTACTCTCTGAGTTGTCTGTCTCCCTGGTGGAAAGTGGAAAATGATTAGACACCTGAATTCTGCTACTCGCGGCTCCCTGACTATGTATTTCATTTTTTTCATGTATTAGATTGAAAGCTCTTAGAGGCTTCTAAAGGCAGCTCTCTTGGAGTGTTAGCTCTGTAAAGCACTCCAGTGACCTCTGGAATTCTAGTTATAATCATGATGATAATGTTGATGAAGAGGTTTCCTGGGGAAGGTATGAGAAGAATTTTAAGGGGTTGGACTTTATTTATATTATTCACTTTATTTATTTTCTTTTTAAAAAAAGATTTATTTATTTATGCATACAAGAACTGGGGTACAGGCCAGAAGTGTGGGGGTGAGAGGATTCACCAGAGACAGAGTGGGGAGCAGAACAGAAAAATCTACTAAAATACACTGCTGAGGGGAGCAGAGGGCAAACAGAAGAAGTCTGCCATGCCATGTGGGTCAGCTCCCTGGCTAGGGATCGAACCTGTGCTGCAGTAGTTGCCAATAGCTTCATAGTGCTGACTTAACCCCTTGCACCATCAGAGTGACCCCTATATTTTTTACCTTACAGATCATTTCAGAACCTTTAAAATTTGTCTTTAAGTACTTTATGCTTTTGATGTTGTAAATGCATGATCTAGAACTTCCATAACTTCTAAATGATTCTCCCTGTAAGTATTTTTCAGGAATTGAGAAGTTGACCAACTTTGAGATGATTTTGTTACCAAAATAACAATATTTCAGGAATTTTTCTTCAGGATTCCATAGGGATTTAAAAGTTTACTTACCTGATGTCTCTTTTTCTCTCTTCTTCCTATTCACTCTGGACTTTTAATCTTATGCCTCTGTGTTTTCTCATCCACAGGTGATAGCCCCTGTAAGAACAGACCATGGCTATGTGTACGAATACCCATCCAGATACCAAAAGGATGTCTATGATATTCCTCCTTCCCATGCCACTCAGGGGGTAGGTACCAGGGATGTGGGCACCAGGGGGAGAAGGAGCTTTTCAGGGTATCACTCCTTTATGGCTACAGAGGAAAGGAAAATTGCAATTGATGTGTATTTCATATGACAATTTATTTTCATTATCTACTTGAGTCATTTTAACCAATGTTATTTAAATTATGCTTTCTGGACTAGCTTTATCAGGAATTCCTTGGCTTTTATTTGACAAAGCTTTTGTTGTGCGCCAGTTTATCATTTTATTTCAGGAAGTGTGCTCTGGAAACTGTACTTTGAAGTACAGACAGTACAGATAATTTGAGATGACAAAATTTTAAAATGTCTTCAACCCCTTATTATATAGAATGCAAACAGACGACAAGGTGATATGTAATCTGGTAAATAAATCCATATTTAAAAGCTTAACACTGTAAAATTTGTAAATTATGGCTTTTCATTCTGGGTAACACAGATGTTTCTCTTTAGGTATATGACATCCCTCCATCATCAGTGAAAGGCCATGTGTTTTCCATTCCAGTGGGAGAGATAAAACCTCAAGGGGTATATGATATCCCTCCAACTAAAGGGGTATGTGAGCAAAAAGGGAGTGACTGTGTGTGTCTGTATGTGTGTGAGTGTGTGTGTGTTCTCATGGGCGTGCATACGTGAATACAGAAAGAAAGGTAAACCGAAAGGGGGAAAACTAGTATTGGTGAGAGAATAAATGGAAAGAAGGGAATCAATGGAGAAAGAGAGGAAGTTCAATAGTCAAAGAAACTCTCTTTCAAAAATGGGGTTGCCAGTTAGGAGAACCAGGAAGAAAGTAATGTGATTAGTTCATTTTAGCAAGCAACCAACATATCTCATAGCTCGCATCTTATATCAGGTGTTATAGCTTACTCATTTTATATATGTGTGTGTATGTATGTAGATAAATATATGTACACATATATATATGCTCATATTAACATATTCGATTCACTCTTTTATGCGCATACAGTTATCCATGTTTTAAAGATAAAGGAATTGTCTTAGAGCATTAAGCAACTTTGCAGCAACATGTAGCTGGGAAACACAGGGAAGGAACTCAGGTCTTTTGCTCCCTAGCCTAGTATATTGGTGTATAATTTACTTCTCAGATGGATCAGCCAGGGAAAGATACCTGGTATGGGATCAGAAATGTAAGCCTGGGATGCAGAGAGAGCAACTGAGCCAGGAGATTTCCATCCAGACAAGCACTGAGGCCATGGAAAGATATACTTGTCAAGAATGAGGGAAGTGGGAACATAATAATGCAGAGTCTTGGGAAATATGTGCACACAGAACTGGCAGCTCTGGCCTTTTATCTACTACTCAGTTTCTGAGTGTTCACACAAATCAACTGGAAAAATAACCACTTTGTATTTTTACTCGCTTTTCAGATATATGCCACTGCACCGTCTGCTTGCCAGAATGAAGGACTTAGGGGAAAGGAGTATGATTTCCCGCCGATGAGACAAGCTGGAAGGCTGGACGTCAGGCCTGAGGGAGTTTATGACATTCCCCCAGCCAGCACCAAGGCAGCGGAGAAGGACCTTCACCTAAAATATAACTATGATGCCTTGGGAGCTGCTGAACAGGCACCACGAAAACACCAAAACAATTCCCTGAAGCATCTGCCCCCACAGCTGGGGCAGGCAGCAAGTAGTCAGAATGACGCATACGATATCCCCCGAGGGGTCCAGTTTCTTGAACCACCAGCAGAAATCTGTGAGAAAACAAATCATGTAGAAAGAAATGGTGTGTATGACGTCCCTCTACACAACCCGGCAGATGCCAAAGGCTCTCAGGATATGGTAGATGGGATCAACCGATTATCTTTCTCCAGCACAGGCAGCACCCGGAGTAACATGTCCACATCTTCCACCACCTCAAAAGAATCTTCACTGTCAGCCTCCCCCTCTCAGGACAAAAGGCTTTTGCTGGACCCAGACACAGCCATTGAGAAACTTCAGCGGCTCCAGCAGACCCTGGAGTTGGGTGTCTCCAGCCTAATGGCCTTGGTGACTACAGACTGGCGTACTTACAGATACATGGAGCGACACATCAATGAGATACGCTCCTTGGTGGACAAGGTGGAACTATCCCTGAAGGACTACCTGCATTTCGCCAAGGGAGCTGTAGCAAATGCCTCCTGCCTCCCAGAACTCAGCCTCCACAACAAAATGAAGCGGGAACTCCAAAGAGTAGAAGATTCCCACCAAATTCTGAGCCAAACCAGCCATGACTTAAATGAGTGCAATTGGTCCCTGAATATCCTAGCTATCAACAAGCCCCAAAACAAGTGTGATGATCTGGACCGGTTTGTGATGGTGGCGAAGACAATACCTGATGATACCAAGCAGCTCACTACAACCATCAACACCAACACTGAAGCCCTTTTCAGACTAAGCTCTGGCAACTCCCATATGAAAAATGGGCCTGAGAGCAATATGAACTCCACTGAGTACCCCAACACTGACTCCCAGATGCTGCATCTTAGGAACCACAAGGTCCAGGCCCTCAACAAATCTTTGCCCCCAAGCTTGGGCAAGGATCACCTCCCTGACTGCAGCAGCAGTGACAGCTCTGAAAAGAGCTGGATGGATGACTATGACTATGTCCACCTGCAGGTAAGGAGCCAGACTTCTAAAACACCTGAGTTCATTTCCAGGGATTCTGAGAACTAACGCCCCTGTTAGAGCAGAGAGGAAGATTGATGTTAATCCTAGCAGCTCAATTGCAGACTGCGTTGTATGGTCAGAATACCGGCCACAGAGTACTGCATCCTCAGGGCTGCACTGTGGCATCTCTAAATGTGTGTCCAGCCTCTGTGCCCTCTCTAGGCGTTAAGTCCCTAATTTGAGAAATGACTGAAGTACAGGGTTGGATCAGAACCCATTGATAGGCCTCAGGCAAGCAGAAGAGACTGCCACCAGCTAATCTTATCAGCTCGATTTTTATTTGCATGTTAAGATCTAGTTCAACTTGATATTTTAATTGAGAAGAAAAGGAGAGGTCACATTTAAGAAAAAAGTTAAGAATCTATGTACATATACATATGTGTTCTCTCCCTCTGCTCACCAGTGTGTGTGTGGGTGTGGGTGTGGGTGTGTGTGTGTGTGATTACTCTTTATACACATACACACACTCACAGAATTTCTAAGGTCCCATCAAGTCACCAGTGTGTGTGTGTCACAGAGAAACCTTTAGGACCACTGGACATCTGCCAACAGATGTGGAATTTAACTTTCATATGGGAAGTTGAGCTCTTGCGGTCTACCTCTTACAGGGGAAATTCCACCAAGTTGACCTAGGGATCCTGACAGCTTGCCCTTTCACTTTGGGGCACTGATTGAAACATTTTACCAGAATCCTTTATTTAGAATTTGGCTTACTACCTTATCCTTCCATTATTTTAACTAAATTGAGAGCCACTGATTCTGCGGAGCACTACTTTCTACAGTTGCTTTGAATGCATGAGAGAGGTAGAGAACTGAGTCACCTTAGTGCTGAGGAAAGGTGTGGGGGCAGAGTACACTGAGGCACTGGACGGCTTATCTGTGTGGTTGTCGACCGCACATTGGAATATCCTGATTTGGTTTAGAGTGTCCATGACTTGAAGAAACTGGAAATGCAATGTGGACCACCTTTGGCATTGCATGGGGGACTATGGGCTCAGTTATAATAAATTACAAAAGAACCCTGAGAAACAGCACTTCTTTTTTTTTTTTTAAGATTTATTCATTTATGCATACAGAACTGGGGTAGAAACTAGAGGTAAAGGGTCAGTGAGAGGCTTCACCAGAAACAGAGTTGGGAGCAGGACAGGTAGATCAATGAAGTACACTGCTGAGGGGAGCAATGGGCGAGATAAGAGAGGTCTGCCGCGCCATGTGGGTCACCTCTGGGGCCTGGGATCAAACTTGCACTGAAGCAGGTGTGGCTGGCTTGTAATGCTGTGTCCTAACCTGTTGCGCCACCTGGGAGGCCTGAGAAACAGCACTTCTTAAGAAAGTTCAAAGGGGGTCACAGGTAGCTCTCCAAAAATGGCAAAGAGGAGCAGAGGGTGTGGGACCGACAGGAGAAAGGGTTTGGGTTTCAGTCCTAACTGCACAGTGACTCTGAAGTCCAGCCAAGAAGCCTGTCATCCCAGTCTGGAAATCACAAGCCTAATTGGGTGTATGGAAAGCTGCTAAGACCAGTGAAAAGGGAAAGAATAATCACAAGCCTGGCAGTGAAATGGTTAATACAAATGAATCACAGTGGTGATGTGATGTTTTCTTTATGTTGAAAAATAATAGGGTAAAGAAGAGTTTGAGAGACAACAGAAAGAGCTGCTGGAAAAAGAAAATATCATAAAGCAGAACAAGATGCAGCTGGAACATCATCAGGTAAGTTCAGTCAGAACAAAAATGACTTGGTATTGAAAAAATTTCCTGCTTGGGAAGGGAGGTAAAACTTCAAAAGATTATTATTTTGATTTGTCCAGCACACTATGGCATAAGTAAGCTTGAAGGCACATAATAGATTAGAGACACAAAGAAAAGGTTCCTGGCCTTAGTCTTCCAGCTGGGTGTACCTGGCTTCCATCCAAACAGCAGTGTTTCCAGGCTCAGCCTGTACATCTAACATATTAGGATTATTTGGCTTAAGGTTGTTGGTTGCAAGAAGCAAGGCCACTCCATTAGCCCAAGCATGCAGGTTTTAGAGTAAGGCCAGAGTAGCGGATTGCAAAAACAGAAGGTGAATATATGTCCAGGTTCAGTGAGAACCAGGCCTGTAAATTATTTCTCCTTCTTGACTTCCTTTGCCATGCTCTAAATCTGCTTCGTTCTTCCCTACTTTCTGACAGCACTGATGTCTCCTCATTTGACTCCCCTATAACATAACAGAACGTGGAAGTGACCACTCAGAACCCTTTCCACAGGTGTCTTTCTTCTACATTGCCTCAATCAACTCCCTTCTGTGGTTCACTGAATTACTGAAAAAGAGTGTCTGTCAGGCCATCTGTGTCTGTGTTTGGTCTACTTTTCTGTCGCTCCCTGACAACAGCTCAAGGCTATGCTTTGGCCACCCTTGGTCCAACCTAGGGGAAGGAGGACAGGATCTAATCTTTTCCATTTATATCAAGTCCATTTACCAAGCCCTTTATAGGTAAGATAGTTTCTTTCAAACTGGATATGAGGGGATAGATAATGATGGGTATCGTTAGTACAAAGTCATGAAAACACAATATGGATTGAGGATTTATATGCCTTTTAAAATGAAATGAAATGGCATATAAAAATCATGACATGGCATACTACACTCAGGAAACCAGAGTTCTAGTCTTTGCTTTCTGACCAATGAACTCTGACTTTAGGCAAGTCACTTAACCTTCCTGAACTTCAGACACTTCTCTTTAAGATGAAGAAAACTTCCATCTCTCAATCTAACGTGGAGCTATAGTTATGAGTATAAAATTTGCAAAAGCATTAGCTATTTTGAATCACTCTTTGTTTTTGTTTACTTTGGTGAACTTATTGAAGCCATAGTAATTCCTAAGAAAACAAAGTATAGAAAAGTAAAGCTAGCTGGGCATTTCATGGGGTGGGATGGGGGAGAAGAAGTGAGGAGGCAGAAAGTGGGTGAGGTTATTTATGCTCTCATTAAGCCCTCATGGGGAGATAGACTGAGTCCTACGATAGTACTTACTTGAAAAAGAGAGTTCTCTCTTGATGCTGGTAGAATAGCTGGAAATTATTATCATTGCATCTTAAATAATACACCATTGCTGGCAAAGAGGAGAGCTAGCTAGCCCTAAACTAACCCTTGCTTAATCTTATTCTGTGCAAGGATCTCTTCTTAAAAAAAAAAAAATTTACATATACAAGAACTAGAGTACAGGCCAGAGGTGCAGGGGGTGAGAGGATTCACCAGAGACAGAGTGGGGAACAGAATCTACTGAATACACTGCTGAGGGGAGCAGCAGATGAGACAGGAGATGTCTGCTGTGCCATGTGGGTCAGCTCCCTGGCCGGGGATCGAACTTGCGCTGTAGTGGCTGTGGATACCTTCCATGCTGTGCTTTAATCCCTTGTGCCACTAGGGAGGCCCACAAGGTCCTATTCTTTTAGCAGCTCTGGAGGACTAAATATGATGATGCACAATTAGCATTCAATTATGCAATTCAATTTCTAACTTCCTTAGAAATTTCCTTTTTTATAGTGCACATATATTTGTATACACTAGTTTTCTCTGTAGTGAGTAGTATTTATAAATCTCAACAGAAACAGTAGGAGAAATAAACAAGGATCATGAATTATCATGTGTCTAACATCTTGAAGGGACAGTGAAGTCTTTCCTCAAGATTACCTCTCTCTACAAAGATCCCTGCATTCGATTTTCCCTTACCACCCCTCCGTGTTTAATACATATTCACATAGAACCTACAGTATAGCAAACATTATTCTAAGTGCTTTATAAACATTGATTCATTTTCATAAAGGTGTGGATAATAGGAGTGGGTTTGAATCCTATGCTTTCTTTCTAACTAAAGGCAAAAGAGATTAGTTACCCAATGAGGAAAGGTCAGAGCTGGGGGCTTTCTTAGAGGTCATTCATCTCAACTTCCATATTTCACAATTTAGCAAGCAGAGCAGTTAGATGAGAACAAGCAGCTGACACTGCGTAGGGATAAAAATCCCTGTCTTTGAACTCCAGCTCCTGGCTAATTTTCACTACCACACACTGCCTATATCCTTAATGAAACCTGTTTTCTTTCTTACAGCTAAGTCAGTTCCAGTTGTTGGAACAAGAAATTACAAAACCCATAGAGAACGACATGTCAAAGTGGAAGCCGTCTCAGAACCTCCCAAGTGCAAGCAGCCGAGTGGGCGCTCAGGACAGGCACTTGCTTTGCTTCTATCATGACCAGTGCAAGACCCATTACATTTCCCTTCTCAATGCCACTGATGCTTTCTTCAGTTGTGTCAGCACAGCACAGCCCCCTAGGATCTTTGTAGCCCACAGCAAGTTCGTCATCCTAAGTGCCCACAAACTGGTGTTCATTGGAGACACGCTAACGAGGCAGGTTGCTTCCCAGGACATTCGCAACAAAGTCATGAACTCTAGCAATCAGCTCTGTGAACAGCTCAAGACTATAGTTATGGCAACCAAGACAGCTGCCCTCCATTATCCCAACAATACTGCCTTGCAAGAAATGGTACACCAAGTCACAGACCTGGCCAGAAACGCGAGGCAGTTCCAGGACTCCTTGTTGGACCTGGCCATGTTCTGAGAAGAAACAGACACAGAGCACTAAGGGTTACTAAAGGAAACTGGAAAGGTTGTCCAGTTTTTGTAAATGGTATCTATTTTTGTAGATATTTTATATGAAAATGAAATATTATAACATTTTATGAATTAGACAATATTCAGAAATTCAGGGACTTAAAAAGGAGGTCTTTTCCCTGTATGGTCCATGTGTATATACATGAGCATTTGAGTTGAAAACTGTAAAAAAAACTCGTCCACAGGTTTGTGTATCTGTGTATTCATGTATGTAAATATCTGATACATTCCATTAAAAAAAATGAACTAAGAAGCACCTTTATAAGAATTTTGTAATGCTGCATTTTTTTAAGAAAATGTGCCAGCTAGTTGCAATATTGTTCTACTAGTGATTCTGTTGAATGTGGTGAGCATAGTACATTTGCATTGTTCATCTCCCAATCATGTATAAAATCTGATTTGTCCTTACTTTGAAACCTCTTCCACAATTGAGCATACTGTGTATATTATGGCAAAATGCCTCAACTCTAGTGGAAAAAGCCCTCCTAAAGAGTAAGTTTCAAAAAGTCCAATGTTTTAGATACTAGAGACAGGAATACATGTCGTTTTAAGCCATGTTCCCAGCTAGGACTGAGTGGTTTCAAACCTGAAGGACACCACACAAAGACAGCACATGGGAATGCAAACTGGTCCAACCAGTATAGAAAGCCATGTAGAAATTCCTTATACTACTAAAAATGGAGATTCCATATAATGCAGCAATTCCACTCCTAGGAATCTACCCAAAGGATAAAAAAGCATTAATTCAAAAGGACACCTGCACCCCTATATTTATTGCAGCACTATTTACAGTAGGTAAGCTATGGAAGCAGCCCAGATGCCCCAAAATAGATAACTGGATCAAGAAACATTGTGTATATTTACACAATGGAATATTACTCAGCAATCAAAAAGACTAAACTGGTGCCATTTGCACAAACATGCATGGAACTGAAAGTGATTATACTCAGTGAAATGAGCCAGAAAGAAAAAGAAAAATATCAAATGATTACACTTATAGGAGGAATGTAGAGGGACCAAATAAGGAATTGAGGGAAAAATAACTACATTAAAGTAAAAATCAAAATCATCATGTAACTATAGATCAGAGGCATTCTATAGGAGAGGAGGAGGGGGAAGGATCAGGACAGAAGTGGGAAGAGCACAAGGGACTATGGTGATGGTGCCAGGGTGAACTGGTGGTGGGAATTTCGCCGGGAAATCATACATTGCACACAATGATGATAAATGTGAATGATGATAAAATAAGTAATTTTTAAAAAGAAAGCACTGGTTTTTGATAGGTTGCACTTATGAGTTATTTGGCCATAAGATTTCCCAAAGGTTACATTCAGATTTGCAAAAATCCTATTATTTACAATAGGAATTCTTCAAGACCTATCATACTATAATTAACTACAAAAAGAAGGAATATTCTGACTTCATGTAAATAGACTTTCTTGCCTCAATGTTCAAAGAACTAGGGAAAACTGCCTAGTTCTTTGGTCTTTTCATGCTACGAAACCACATCTTATTCCAAGAGAAGCCATTGAGTTTGTTGCTTCCTTAAAACATGTATGTGCCGACACAGCTGTCAGCGCAACAGGACAGATCCCAACTACTCTTTACAACTCCATCTGGCCAGCCCAGAACAACACCCACCCCCGTGTGTCCCTTTACACCTTTGGTGTTGACACAGACACCACAAACCTTCAGAGTCAACACAGGGCAAATGAAATACTTCTATCTAGTGGGTAAATGTATTTACATAATACCAAGTCAAGGAGCATATTATCTAGAGCCTTCTGCTACAGTTTTATTTAACATTTTTTTATTCCAGCCCCTTTGAAAATATTACTATCTGTTATATATGCTTCGACTTACTAATTTGACTTGTTTTAAATAACCAATCTACTGGAATAAAAAAGGAGTTTAAAAAAAAAAAGCTTGATCTCTTAAAAGAAGAATTAGTGAAGTTTATGACAGAAATTTTGAAACCAACCATTATTATAATTCTTAAATATCTATTCTGGCCAATGGAGATGGAAAGCTGTATTGGTAGTAAGTCAAGTATATGTTGGGAGGCAGGGCATTGCTGAAAACCAACTGTACTTGAAGTTTAAAAAAGTATGTCCTTATAGATTTGATTGTATCATGTGTATTTCTTAGGAGTTGACAGTTTGCTCTAAGTTAAGTGGTGATACATTTTCAATATTGATGTATTCAATCTGTCTTGCTTTCTACTCCATCTTGTTTGTAGAGGCTATTTTTAAATCATTAAATCTTTAGGCTTTTTTCATAGCAATTGGGTTTTCTTTTCTGTATTTTTCTATTTGTCACAGAATTTAATTTTGGCCTATGTTGGTACACCTAATATCAAAAATTAAGTTATGACCATCTTATCAGTACCATAAATCTAATTTTTTAAATAGTTTATTTTTAAATCATTTTGTGCCTTTTTCCATCTCACTCATAATCCCAGTGGGCTTCTGACCACCAATTCCCCTGCATGCCACCACTATAGTCTTGTGCGCTCCCCCTCCATTTTTGATCCCATTCCACCCCCATATAATTTCTCTGGCATATAGTTATTCATTATTTCCACCCCCACCCTGGACCTTTATACTCTTGTTATGAGAGAAATCATCCGGTATTTTTCTTTTTCTTTCTGGCTTATTTCACTAAGCATGCTGTAGATCTAAATTTTAAAAGAGAAACAAGGATGGTGTGTGTGTGTGTGTGTGTGTGTGTGTGTGACTTCAGAGTAGGTTTGCAGTTGAAAAACATTCTGAAATCTGTGAACATTATCAGACCCAAATACCTGGCACAAGCCTTCTCTTTAGCAGAGAGTGTAAACATTTAGGAGATGAATGGGATGAATTCTGTTACTGTCAGATGGATGTTACCATTCATGTGATTTTAGATTCCTGGACTAGACATAAATAACTTTAAAAAAGCTGTTTGTTAAAAATAGGAGAATTACCATCACATAAATTTGATTTTCTTGACATTTTATTTTTTACTAATTTTATTTTGGCATAGAAGAACTGGGTTGTTGGTCAGAGGTGCGGGGGTGAGAAGATCCACCAGAGACAGAGTGGGGAGCAGAACAGGCAGATCTATTGAAATACGCTGCTGAGGGGAGCAGCGGGTGAGACTGAGAGGTCTGCTGGGTCGTGTGGGTCAGCTCCTGGCAAAGGATGGAACTCACAATATAGGTGATTGTGCTAAGACTTAACCCCTAAACAACCAGGTACTTTTCTCTGTACATTTTAAAAGAACAGGTTTATTAGGAAAAGGAAAGAGAGTCACAGGTAAGCAGAAGAGCCCATATAAATTATTTTTAATGCTTGATGCTTTTATTTTTCATTCAGATCTCCTACTGGAATGTATCTTGTACATACCTTGCATCATTTCCCCACATCAATATAAAAATTAGTTTTCTAAAAATGTATCAAAATATTTAGTGGAGAATAAAACATCTTTTGAGAAAAAGAGTGCTGGAACAAATAGCTCTTCCCATGGAAAAAATAACTCGAGAAAGTTTTTGTGACTTAATGATCTTGGGAAAACAAAGGTTCTTTACAACATACAAAACATGATTCAGTTATGAATCAGAAAAAAATTAAAAAATACATTTAAAAAAAATGTAAAATGGCAAAAATAGATTGTCAGGTGATTTTAAAACTTAAGCCCACTATAGTCTCTTGGAATCCCACACACCTTTTAACTATGCACCCCAAAAAATAAAAATTTGATTTCATCAAAATCAAAACTTACAATCTTCTAAAGAGGCCATTAAATAATAACAAAGGGAAAATTATTTGCACCACATTTATCAGTGAAAGACATATATCAAAATCAAGAGACTAGATTTTTTTAGTCAAGCAAAAATTTTAGACAGTAATGTCACAAAAAGCCTGTGAATGGACACATAAGTGAAATGTAAACATACTAATTTATAATTTAAAAAAATAAGACAATGCTAAGTGTTAATGAGAAAGGGAATGCAATTGAGATAATGCACAGTTGTTAAGAATGTAAAATGGCGGCCCTCCCTGGTGGTGCAGTGGGTTAAAGTGCAGCATTAAGAAGCTGACGCCACTTCAGCATGAGTTCGATTCCCGCCAGCCCCGGAGGTGACCACATGGCACAGCAAACCCGAGAAATAAAAGCATGTGAGCACGCAAAGACTTATTCAAAGACTTATGCTCCCCTCAGCAGTGTATTTCGTCAGTAGGCCTGTTCTGCTCCCCACTCTGTATCTAGTGAAGCCTCTCACCACCCCTGCACATCTGGCCTGTACTCTAATGCATAAATAAATCTTTTTTAAAAAAATGTAAAATGGCAAAAATACTTTCAAAAATAGATTGTCAAGTGATTTTAAAAATTAAGCCCACTATAGTCTCTTGGAATCCCACGCACCTTTTAACTATGCACCCCAAACATATGCATACCCTCTTCCTTATAACCTATGTCCTACAGACAGATGTTTGTTTGTTTGACTTAGTTTTGTCTGCTTTTTTCCTTTATACTACAAACATTCTTACATAAGTCTTTGCATGCTCACATGCTTTATTTCTCTTGGGTAAATATCAACTTATTTATAATACTGCCAAATCTGAAACAAGCTGAATATCCTCAATTACAGGTAAGTTGATAAAGTGTGATTTATTCACATAAAGGAATACTATGCAGTGATAAAAAGGGATGAATTCTGTACACATGTAACCACATGAATGGGTCAACCTTAGAAACATCCTCTGCTAAAATCAGATCAACAGAGGAATCAAGATGAAATCAGAGGAAGTTACTTGCTTTGCTTCCAAGAGAATTTTTTAGGTCAACCAGTGGGACATTACACCCAGAGAGTCCAGTGGCTTGAGTCAACACTGAAAGTTCTCCTGGATGTCAGAGTCTAGCATACTCCTCCAGAAGAAACGAGCAGCAAATTCAGGGGGAACGTGTTTTACAAAGAAGCCCGTGCGCACACACACACACACACACACACACACACACACACTTAGGGGAAATACATACCAAGTTGCTGAAGAACTCCCCAGAGGCAAGGCCAATCCATGGTGAAGAAACAACACACACTGCAATGCTGGCCCCTTTGCTACCACCTTCGGCTGGTGCTAACCTCAGGAAGCATACTGGCAGCACTTAGACACTGCCGGGTCTAGGCGCCTAGGCAGCAAGAGAAGAGAGGCAGTGATGGTTCCACAAACAAAAGTCAGCCTTCCTGTGCCCCCTCGCCCCCTTCTTTGGCATGAGCAGCTGGACTTCCCCAAGCCCATTCCCCACCTGACAGGTCAGCAGCCACAAAAACAAGTTTCACTAATTGCAGAAGCCAGCAAAGATCAAAAATATAAAATGAAATCACGGTGTTAACTGGTTAAAAAAGTAAAATTTCTAAGGTCTAGCAACAGATACTTCTAGAAACTAAGGAAACCTAAAGCAGTAAAGTGGGCTTATAAAAATATACAAAGCCGGGCCCTCCCTGGTGGCGCATGGGGTTAAAGCACAGCACTGAGAAGCGAAAGCCACTTCCGCATGAGTTCGATCCCTGCCTGCCCCAGCGGTGATCCACATGGCGTGGCAGACCTCTCCCGGCCTCCTGCAGCTCCCCTCAGCAGTGTACTTCTACGATCTGTCTGTTCTGCTCCCCACTCTGTCTCTGGTGAATCCTTTCACTGCCCCGCACCTCTGGCCT